AAATCAGAACATTTTATTTTGACATTTTGAGCTAGAACAGTTAGATTTTTTTTAAAAAACATTTTACTGCAATTTTATTTTTAACAGGTTTATAAAAAAAAAACCCAAAATGATATGAAACTACTTTTTTGGGTTGCCCCGAAACAAACTGTTTTCCAGTGTTTTGGTTCAGCCACTGAACTGAAAAATCGGTTCTTTGCACAGCTCTAGTCCATCCACACGGAGCTCCCTATCATTTCAGAGACCTGGCATTGATAACGATCGGTCTCAGTGGAGAGGCCAAGGATGGAGTAGGCCATGCAAACAGTCCCTCTAGAGCAGCCTGGCCACAACTGATGGCCCAGTGTGTGGGATGCGTCCACCGGTACGGTGCATGAGCTGGGGACAGAGGGCTTCAGCCTCCAGGGAATTTAGAAATTAGGAAGAAAATGATGGCAGGTTGGAGTGACCCTCCGGGTTCACTAGAGGACTTGGAGGGACGCCTCCCACGCTGTCATGCCTTAGTCTTGTAGTAACATCTCCCATACCGTAGGGAGTATGCCGACTCCCCTCATTTTCCGCCGGTGGGTCGCCCTCGGCAGAGCATGGCCTGGCCCCAGATTCCCAGTGCCGGTACCTGTCTGCCAGCGTGGGCAACCCGGAGAAGAGGGAGAAGGGCGAGAGCCAGCCCCAGAACCAGTTCTCCTCTGCTTTGTTCAGCTCTTGGACCTGCTCTGTGCTTGACGTCTGAGGAGAAAGAGGGGAGTAGGAGACTATGTTCTCTTCCTCTGTGTCCTCTTCTGCCACTTCCAGCTCTTTGGCCTCCTCCTCCGTCATCTCCTGCTCCTCCTTCTCTTTTCTCCACCAAGACATGGTAAGCTATCAAAATGCTGGGGGAGGGGCAAACAGCAGTATAAAATGAAGTTGGGGCTAAGGCTCCCGGTATGTTTATATCCTCTACCTGCTGCTATGACCAGTGACCAGCCAGGGCCCTTTCTTCCCTGACTTATGTGATGGTCATTCTCTGGGTTGACCATGTGGCCGAAGGCCTCTGGACACTTATGTGAAACCACGGAACAAAACTGCCTTTTGCCTTATGTCCCTCACCCCATAGCACGAGGGGTGCTTTGTCTGGTGGTTGCTGGATCCAGATGCCTTGGGATTGGGCATTACCAGTGAGAGGCCCCCCAGCTCTGGACTCAGTTATCTGGTCCCACAGCCTGTTGCCTTCCAAAGCATGATGTGGGGCTCATCTCATCTCTCAAGCTGTAACCAGCTGCGGCAGGCCATAGTTAATGGTGGGTGTGGTTTGGGGAGGGGACCTGTTGTGTCTATTAGCTTTGACGTAAAATCCTTGCAATGCACTCTAAGCCATTGCACAAACTAAGGAAGCTACCACGTTGGGGGAGTTTGTCATTGGCTGATTGGTCTTTGCATAATGTTACATGGTATTGCCCAGCACCAGGGACGATGCAACAAATCACATGAACACATACGTGCGTGCCATCAAAACCCAGCCACGCTCCACCTCTGCCGCTCAAGCCGTGTGGGTCTGGACGTGGTGGGTCTTAGCAGGGCTCTGCCCACCCTGCTCTAGTCTGAGCGAGCGGCATGCCAATCCCAGAGCGCTGCCTGGAGAGGGCCAATCAGCGCAGGGAGCAAGGAGTGATCAAACTAGTGCCTGGAGTCGCCTCCTTCCTTCCAGCAGGGGATGAGAAAGGGGACCACAGGAATTCGCCCTTCTTTCCAAGCACATGGCAATGCCACGCTCCCAGAGGGAGCACTCAACGCTGGAATGGTGCAAAATCATTTCTTGCAGCATTTGCCTTGTGTCAATGCAGCTAGAGTGCCGGTCGCTATGAGACACCCCAGACAAAACCTGATACAGTTCAGTGTTTGGAATCAAACTCATGCGGGAACCACCGCTGAGCCCGGGGGCAGCGCGACAGAGTTTTCCTGCATACTGAGATCACTGCCAGCGCGCAGGTCCAAGAGGAATGGAGCATGGGATTGTATGAGGCATTAAGGGGACCAGCCGCAGTGATCCAGGACGTGCCTTTCAGTCCTGTGTTCCTATGAAATCCATCATGGCTGGCGCCGAGGCAGCCCATGCTTCTGCTGGGTCTGTCCATCTGATCTCTCTTGAATCAGGCAGCCCAGGGAGTCCTTGCTAAGGTAATACACTCCCAGGGGAATATAAAATCTTTTGTCCCAATATTGGGCAGGGTTAGGAGATTAGACAGAGTCTGTTGCTGGGTTTTAAACAAGATAGAGAAAGACCTGCCCTCCTTGTCTGGGCCTTTGTCATATTACACCAGGGTGATGGAGTGGGGGAAGGGACCTCGAGAGGTCACCTAGTCTAGCCCCCCATGCTGGGGCAGGATTAAGTATCACAAGCCCCCAGCTGCCCTCCTGCTCACTCAGCTTTAACATTTTTAATTCCTCCTGAAGATTAAATTTCAAGGGATTTCAGGAGAAAGCCTCTTAGCCGAGTCTCACCTGGCACTCGCTGCAAAGCCGCTGTCAGCTCCCTAGCCGCCAGCCGCTGGGCCGGGGCTCATTGTGACACCCTGGGGGTTCTCCAGGCAGGTTCTACACACAGGCCAGTGGAAGGCAGTGACCTGGTGGGTCACCCCATGCTGTGTCACTGGGCATGAGGGCCCAGCTTTGCAGCCGGTCTAACCCTAAGGGCCCGGGTTTGCTTCTTTTGAAACCAGCGAGAGTGGATTTCAGTGGGAGCAGTAGGCCAAGAATATCTGCCATTCACTCGTGCATACTCCCAGATCTCTTTGCCCCTGCTGGGATCCCTTCTACCTCCCATAACTCCCACTGAAGAACCTCTCCTTGATATAATCTCTAACCACACCCTATAGCAGCGTCCCCTCCTCTCCTCTGGTTCTGTGACCCCCCCCCCTTGTAATGTGACCACATCCTTCTCCGGGCCCCAGTCAGGGAAATGTGGTTCATTTACTTGGAAGGGCCTCATCAATATATCTGCATCCTCTCCTCAGCTCTTCTCTCTGAACGTCCACTGACACACGAGCGCCACAGGAGGGTGGGGTAGCGCTGGCCCCATCTGTTTTGTTGCTGCCTAGCAGGGGGAGGGATAGCTCAGTGGTTTGAGCATTGGCCTGCTAAACCCAGGGTTGTGAATTCAATCCCTGAGGGGGCAACTTAGGGATCTGGGGCAAAATCAGTACTTGGTCCTGCTAGTGAAGTCAGGGGGGCTGGACTTGATGACCTTTCAGGGTCCCTTCCAGTTCTATGTGATTGATTCCTATATGGAGATATACCTTTCACGTAAACCTCAGAGGTGCCAGGCGCTTAGGAGATCATTGGTGCAGGGAATGACGTGGGTGGCCACGTTTGCAGCATTTCTGTTCCGAGAGGCATAAGACGTGTGGCTGCACTTGGGGTCTGATGGTGACATGGCTACTCTGCCAGCGCAGCCTCACTCTGGGCACAGAGGTCGGTTTCTTCATCCGGAGATGCTCCTGCTGTGCAGAGGCGACACCATGGGGCTGTGATGCAGGTGTTGCAACCACATGGCGTGGCGCCATGGTGTGATTGTTCTGTCCTGGAAAACAGACACCAAAATGCGGTAGACCTCCTGATCGCGCCCAGTCTCCAGTTGGTGTGTGCCACTAGAGACTGTTACACAGACCAGATGAGCCCAGGCCCTGCCGTGCCTGGTTTTGAAAAGTGCGGGGCCAGATCCTTAGCTGGTGTGCATGGACACAGCTCTATTGACTCCAGTGGACATGTTTTGATTTACGCCCCAGCTGACGATCTGGCACTCTGGTTTTCATTTTAACCTCAGTTATGGCTATCCACTTTGACTAACTTCAGCAGGGCTGCATGGGTGGAGGGGGATTTGGCTTGGTGTGTTTAGCATTTCGAGCAGGAGACTGGGACTCCGGGGGAGAGGGGAAGCGGGGTGTCTGTCACTGACTCGCTGTATGACCTTGACCAAGCCGCTTCCCCCTCACAGTGCCTCAGTTTGCCAATCTGTAAAATGGGACTGACCTACAGTACTGCACAGAGAGAGGTTGCGGGGGGGAGAGGAGGAACTGAGGATCAATTCATTAACGGTTGTAAAGTGCTTTGAGATCCTTGGAGGAAACATGGTGCAGAATCATATGCTATTGCTAAACAGCTGGCTCCAAACCAATGCTCCAGACCCAAACGCTCCCAAACTTTGGGGGAGTTCAGATTTGTATTAAAATCTCCTGGTTTGGGACGATTGTTGCTTTAAAAAAAAAAAAAAAGGAGCGAGGCGCGTTGGTTGGGAAAGCAGGAGCCTAAGGGGTTAACGGGGAGTGTTTGTAGCAAGTCTCTGTCACCAAGGAGAAGAGAACAGCACTTGGGGAAAGGAAACAAAACACTGGGCCTGTCCAGGAGGGGCGATTTCCCGTTTAAATCGACTCCAGCTCCAAGCTACCCGTCGGGGGAAGGAGAGAGGCGTCTGACATTCCCAGGGGGGTGAGGGGCAGGCAGCAGGAGCGCTGGGTGAAGCCAAAACGCCCCAGCTCCTTGTTGAAGAAAGAGGGCGAGTGTTCAGGGGGAAAGGTCAGTTCCCCGCATAGGAATGTGTGTCCCCTCGCAATGGGGCGAGACTGCAGGCAGGTTCCCCCAGGGGGCTGGGGCAGCAAGGGCTCTGGGCCATGGGTGCAGGAATGAGGCATGAGGACAGCACCTTCCAGTGGAGGGCTCGGAGCGTCTGCATGTGGGCTGGATGGAGGAACTTGCTCTCCCTGAAGGAATGCAATTGCGATGGCTAGGGGACCAAGTGGAGCTTTGCCACCCGTGAACTTGCCGCTCCTCAGGAGGGGAGAAATATTGTGACTTTTTCCGCCTAGATCAGGAGTGTCCTTTGCACGCTGCAGTTTGGCGAGAGTCATGGCAATGGGGGGCCCAGGGACAGGACCGTGAGAACCCGCTCTGGGGACGGAGACGTGGAAACTCACCATACCTGGGTAAGTCTGGAACCAAACCAAGGGGTTGATGGTTCAGTGTCCTGCATGGAAGCCTTCGATGCCCCTTCTCTGTCTCCCTTTAGCCCCACATCTCATGGCAAGATGGCTGGGATTCAGGGGGCCACGGTGCAGAGCATCCGGCCCTACAAGTCCAGCGAGCAGTATCTCTACGCCATGAAGGAGGACCTGGCCGAGTGGCTCAAGGAACTCTATGACGTGGACGTCAACGTTGGGTCCCTCCTGGAGGTGCTGGAGACGGGCTCCATGCTGTGCTACCATGCCAACAACATCACCCACGTGGCCGGAGAGTTCTCCCGGGACTGTCCGGGCCTGGCCCACAAGCTCCAGCTGCCCAGATATGGGGTGACGTGTAATGACTCTGCCCAGCCAGGGACCTTCCAGGCCAGGGATAACGTGTCTAACTTCATCCAGTGGTGCAGGAAGGAGATGGATATTAAAGGTAAAGAGGATTCTGATCTTTCCCTCCTGTTTCTTTCCATTCCTTTCATTTCTCTTTATTTCTAACACCTTTTCCTGCCCTCTTACCCCATGGCAATTCTTCTTCTCATTATTTATTTGTCTTGCTTTGGTGCCTAGGACCCCAGTCATGCACCAGGACCCCATTGTGCTGGGTGCTGTATGTTATTTATTAGGTGTATTACGGTAACCTGTAGGAGCCCCAGCCATGGACCAGACCTCACTGTGCTAGATGCTGTACAAACACAGAACAAAAAGATGGCTCCTGCCCCCCAAAAAGCTGACCATCTAATATACTTCGCTCTTTCCTAGAGCCTTCTCTCTGAGGAGCTCAAAGCACTTGGCAAACATTCAGTTAGCCCCGCCACCCCCATCTTTATCCTCCATTTATAGACAGGAGAAACTGGAGGGAAGCTGCTTGCTCAAGGTCACAAAGTGGCCCAGTTAGGAAGGTCCCCAGTGTCCTGACCCCATCCTGAGCCTTGATCACAAGAGCGTTCTCCCTCCTGGGGGGAGGGATAGCTCAGTGGTTTAAGCATTGGCTGCTAAACCTAGGGTTGTGAGTTCAATCCTTGAGGGGGCCACTTAGGGATCTGGGGCAAAATCAGTACTTGGTCCTGCTAGTGAAGGCAGGGGGCTGGACTTGATGACCTTTTGGGGTCCCTTCCAGTTCTATGAGATAGGTATATCTCCCTTCTCATTAAACTTCGCCCAAACTAAGTAGCTGTCTGGGGATTCAACTCTGAGATGAATCATAGAATCTTAGGGTTGGAAGGGACCTCAGGAGGTCATCTAGTCCAACCCCCTGCTCAAAGCAGGCCCAATTCCCAACTAAATCATCCCAGCCAGGGCTTTGTCAAGCTGGGCCTTAAAAACCTCTAAGGAAGGAGATTCCACCACCTCCCTAGGGAACCCATTCCAGTGCTTCACCACCCTCCGAGTGAAAGCATCTTAAGGGAGGGCATGTTGTCTAGTATTGTGTCCTAAGGCACTGGCCTGGATTCTGTTCCTGACTCTGCCACTGAGCAGCCATGTGAGCTCGGGCAATTCAGTTCATCTCTTTGGGTTTCACTTCCCCATCTGCAAAGGGGGCCAATATCCTTGGTTTCTCCCACCTTCTTGTGTGTCTTGTCTATTTCGCTTGTCAGCTCCGTGGGGCAGGGCTGGTCTCTCGCTGTGTGTACGTGCAGCGCCCAGCGCAAAGGGGCCATGCTCTCAGTTGGGGCCTCCAGGTGCTACCACAATACAAATAATGAATAACAATAACAACAACGCGTTGGGAGTCGGGATGCTTTCCCCACCCCCTAAAAAAAGAATTGCAAATCTGATTTAAAGTTAGCACTGGCAACCCTACAATAACAACAACCTGCAGTAGGGATGGGAGTTGGCAAAGGGACGTAAGAGCGCTATGTGTCGGAGGTGGCTAGTAGATTGGATTTATTTGCGTTGCTCCTTGAACATCTTCTTTGGCAGCCTGCGCTAGACCGCAGTGCAACAGCAGCTGTGAATATCTTTAACGCAGCACTGCCTTCATGTAGTTCCTGATTTCCCCTCCGATCGGGGTTCTGGCAGCTAGGGTCAGGGAGAGGGGTGTGCTCTAGCAGCTTGTGAATCTCTGCCTCATTGACTGGCTGAGGTTGTGCCCACGTGGTTGTTTTAGTTCCTTGGTCAAACTGGCAGCATTTCTGCTGGCTACGGTTGGGTTAATCCAGGACTTGGTTCTCTTACACAGAACCCGGCCTCTGGTCCTCAGCTCCTTGAATAGCTGGAGCTGGGGGCAGCCCAGATTCTGTTTAACCCTTCCCCAGCCAAAGCAGTGTCTGTGCTCAAGGCCTCAGTGTAGCGTCCATTTCCAGAAAAGAGCTGGGCATGCTAGTGATTCATAGATCCGTAGGGACCATTAGATCATTCTAGTCTGACCTCCTGTATAACCCAGGCCAGAGAGCTTCCCCGAGTTACTCCTGTGTTGAGCCCAGTGATTTGTGTTTGGCTCAAGCACCTCTTCCAGAAAGGCCTTATTTGGAGATGTCAAGAGATTGAGAATCCACCCCTTCCCTTGGGAGTTAGCGCCTACGATTAATCACCCTCCTTATTCAAAATCGTGCTTTATTTCTAACTTGAATTTGTCTGACTTTAACTACCAGCCAGTTGCATCTGAAGAAGTGGGTTTTTTACCCACGAAAGCTTATGTCCAAATAAATCGGTTAGTCTTTAAGGTGCCACCGGACTCCTTGTTGTTTTTACCAGCCATTGGCTTTTATTCTACTTTTCTCCCTTAGATGTAATTAAAGAGCCAGCATTGTCTCCTCACAAAGGTACTTGTACACCGTGCTCAAGTCACCTCTAGGGCTTCCTTTTGATACACTAAGCAGAGTGAGCCCTCCACTCTCCCACTGTAAGGTGGGACTGAATGCCCACTTGCCTGGCATCTCATGAGCAGGATATTTATACCTGGTGTATGTTCATGCAAGGATACGGACACCTCGTATGTACCTACACATTTGCTTGGTATATCAAGGATGTTCCACGCAAGTACCCCTTCACTTGGCCTATCAGGGCAGGGCACATCCACTATGTGTCCCACCACTTACTGTACCCCCGTAGGCCTGAGGGTACATCTGCACCCATGTCTGCACAGTCGGCTCCCCGCAGAATGGTAATAGGTCAGGCTGGCTCTCACTCATACTGTCTAACCACACCAGGCCTTGCTTAGCGCTTCCTGCATCAGACAGTCTCTGTTGCAGAGATCTGCGGCCATGTGATTGAACACACCTCATTGCACACACGCTGCGTCGGTGGGACAATTCACCACCCCTGACACAGCAGCGCTGCTGCTCTCACTAGCTCTGCCCTTGTCTCTCATTCCTTCTCCCCATCCTTCCCCTCCTTCTTCCCACGTGTCGCTCATTCGCTGTGCCCCAGAGGTGCTGATGTTTGAGACGGAGGACCTGGTGCTGAGGAAGAACGAGAAGAACTTTGTGCTGTGCCTGCTGGAGGTGGCCCGCCGGGCCTCTCGCTTCGGGATGAGTGCTCCCACCCTGATCCAAATGGAGGAGGAGATTGAGGAGGAGATCCGAGAGGAGATGGACCTGCCCCCTGAGGATACCCCACTTCCCAAGCCGCAGAGGAAGCTTTGTGACTTCAAGAACCTGGACCAGATGGTAAGGGGGAGGGGACACTGTGAGGCACTGCGGGTCTGAGTTCCCTGATACTCATTGTTCTGTCCAGGCGGGTGTGACGGGTTGGATCACAGAAACCCCCTTGGGAGCTGCCACCCGATGTGCCGAGACTACCCCTGCTTCTGTTTTCCCTGCCAGCTCAGGACTCCAGCACCCCGTCTTGCTGAGCGAGACACTCCAGTCTGGCTCCAGACACAGACTCAGGGTCTGAATCACTTGTCCCAAAGCTACAAGTTTACCCAAAAACAGCTCACAGGAGTGTGCTTGTCTTTAGCACTCAGATGCCCAACTCCCAATGGGGTCTAAACCCAGATAAATCCGTTTTACCCTGCATAAAGCTTATGCAGGGCAAACTCATAAGTTGTTCGCCCTCTATAACACAGATAGAGAGATATGCACAGCTGTTTGCTCCCCCAGGTATTAATACATACTCTGAGTAAATTACTAAATAAAAAGTGATTTTATTAAATACAGACAGCAGGATTTAAGTGGTTCCAAGTAGTAACAGACAGAACAAAGTAAGTCACAAGCAAAATAAAATAAAATGCGCAAATCTATGCCTAATCAAACTAAATACAGATAATTTCCTCACCAGTTCCAGAATGCTCCCTTTTACAGGCTAATCTCCCTTTAGCCTGGGTCCAGCAATCACTCACACCCCCTGTAGTTACTGTCTTTTGTTTCAGCTTCCTTCAAGCATCCTGGGGGGGTGGAGAGGCTCCTTCTTTAGCCAGCTGAAGACAAAATGGAGGGGTCTCCCCCAGGTTTAAATAGACTCTCTCTTGTGGGAGGAGACCCCCCTCCTCCCTCCTATGCAAAGTCCAGCTCCAAGATGGAGTTTTGGAGTCACCTGGGCAAGTCACATGCCCCTGCATGACTCAGTCTTTACAGGCCGACGCCATTGTCCACATGGTATCTTGCATGTCTCCAGGAAGACTTCTTATGTGGATTGGAGCATTCCAAGATGCATTGTTCCCCCAGTGTTTCCCGATCAGGTACTTAACCTGGCAAATTCCTTCCTAAAGAAGCTGACCAAATGCCTCACCAAGCTTACTTAGAAATCAAGCAAGCATACAGCCCATATTCTTAACCTCAAGTAGAAAATGGTATATATGTACAAAGGATTAATAGATATAGTAGACCATGTCACAGGCAGCACAAAACATATTTCAGTTATATCATACATACATTTATAAACACCCACCCATAAAGCCTTATGGGGTACGCTGTCACAGCGGGAACTTCAGGAGAACCTGACTGGGGGGAGTGTGGGGGGAGGTCCTCTGTTATATGCAATCTACTTTGGGACCTTTCAGGGAGGAAGATGCTACCTGAACGTGAGAGATTCTTATTCTCTGCTCAGTGCAGCTGGGTATTTAAAACCCAACAGAGTTAGCAGGAGTTCTGTGCCTCTGTTTCCAGCAGGCCAGACTCCCTGCTGGTTAGTGGCACTAACTGAGGTTAGAAGATAAGGGTCAAATTACTGAATGGAATTGGGCAAAGGGAACCGATTTCTTCAATCATTAGCTGGCCCCAGGTAGAACTCCGAAGGCCCAAATTAGCATGGCTTCAACTTCCTGGATCTTCACATCGAGCGCTAGGTGATCCTGACCTGAACCTTGTTAGAGGTTCAAGAATGTTCAGTTAATTTCCTCCCCAACCCTTGTTGGGTTTTTTAATTTTGTGGTGGCTTTTGTGCTTCCAGTTTCCAAATACAGCCAGAGCCAGAAGCCTATTTTTCAGGGCTCAAGCACAAGAAGGCAGCAGCAGAAATCTTTTCGTGTGGGATTTCCAGTCTGTTTTTACAGGATCAAGTGTCTTTGATGAGATTTGGATAAGCCCTGGCACCCCGTCTCTCTGACGGAGAATGGGCCCAAGGAGCCTAGCACGCCCCTCCCCAGGGCTACAATGGTATCCAGGATGCACAGGGAGTAGCACTTTCCTCATATTGACCAGGAATGGTTTGCCTTGGACTCTGCAGGTCCAACACCTGGTGAGCCGGTGCACGTGCCCAGTCCAGTTCTCCATGATCAAGGTGTCTGAAGGAAAATACCGCGTGGGCGATTCCAACACCCTTATTTTTGTCAGGGTAAGTCCAGGAGAGTGTGCTTTCCAGATGCTGTTATGTTGGTCTATATGATACCAGGAACTTCTAATCTACTCTGGGGGTAGGAGGGGCACCTGCACTGCTGCTACCATCTGGGGCTGGGATGCTGTGTCTTTGGGGTGGGAGTCACCAAACACGGGCTCTTCACCTCTCGTTGTGCCTGGTCCCACCCCAAAAGATGGCATGTGTCGATATGGCGAGCGAGGCTGCCGGAGTCAGAGTAACTGAGCATCGTGACTGTTAGCAAGGCAGAGATTTCATACCATGCTGCGTTCGCACACTGCAAAACGCATTCAAGGGAAGTGGCTGAATGGCCGTGAGGGTTAGTAACTGGATCTGCATGTCTTCACCTTAAGTAGGATGGGACAGCTCAGTGGGGACCTGACACTGAAACCCTCTGATGTCGCTGGGTGAAATGAGTCACTCCGCTCCCTAGTGGGACAGGGGACCACGTCTCAAAACCCCACCGCTCCAGCCGGCCTGTTGGTTGGACTGGCTGGGCCATGGAGAGCGAGTTTCCCTTTCTCCCTAGAAGTGCTCTCTCTGGGTCTGAGCTGAATAGGGCCACGTGAGGGAAGCTCGCCTTGGTGCTGTCAGTGCCATACCAGCTGTCCAGTGGATGAGTACAGGGCTCCAGCCTCCAGAGCTGTCAGTCTGGTGCCTTTCACTTGGGGGCGGCGGGGGAAACATGGGCTGCACGTAGGTCGTCCCTCCCTCTCTCTGTCCCCCTCTGTATTCTGTTCAGTTGGTTTCTTTCAGGTCTCTAAGCCCCTTCATTAACTTTCCTGGCTGATAGCCTTATCAGTGACTGCAGTGAAAGTCATATGCCCTGCAGGTTATGGTTGACTGGAGAGGACCCTCGGATTTTCTTCTCTTTGTGGGGGTGGCCACCCATATTAACCCTCAAACCCCTCTCCTGCCGTCAGAGATGCCATCATGGTCTGACCTGCATGTACATCTCTCAATTACCTGAATAATCACTGGGTCCCCGAGGCATCTTGCTGGAGTAAGACATGGTGGTAACAAGCTCTGTATTGTGTTGTGTGTGAGAACCTGCATCTTTTCCATGGCAGGAGTCATGTGCTATTGTGCTCCAGGTCCTCCACCCCTTCCGGTTCATCTGAGTGTATTCAAATCCCCTTTGGACTACGTGATTGTTTTACACATTGTCCACATGTAGCCGGGTAAGAGCGGACATGCAGGTGTGTGCACGCACATGTATGCAACCATACGCATGGCTAAGTATGCATGCATAGGCAGGCATGTAAACCAAATGTGTGCATGTGTTTGCATGCGTATATTGTAGTGTACGAGGTAAACGCTGCTCCTGAGATGGGCTGAGCAATGAAGTCAGTGGAAGACTAGGATATTCTGCACCAATCAGGGTCAGTCCGTAGCGTTGGGATTTCCACAAGAGCTCAGCACATTGAATGCGCCCTGGCTGTGCTGTATTAACACAACAGGTGCTGAGCTCTTTGGAAAATCTGGGGTGCCAAGCACTGCAAAATCTGGCCCTGATCTCTTTGGAAAACCTGGCCGCACATCTGTTTGAGGATGTTATCTCTTAGCTGGCCCACAGAGAATATGAGGTTCTCCTTTCATTCAAGGGGTAGAGGCTGTTTTGGAAGACAAAGGTCCTGGGTTCTCTCCCCACCTATGACCATGAAAACCACTGTATGCGGTGGCACCTGGAATTATTATTATTATACGCATCACATATATGTGTGCATGTAACCCTGTATGCATCCACAGTCATGTGCATGTGAAATACTGTATATACCTCACTGGAATAAAGCCAACAGGATGGTGACATCCATCTGTTGAGCTTTCACTCATTTCTAGCCCAGGACGCTGCAGGCCCAGGGGAGCCCCTCGCTCATGGGCGCTCTGTTTGTTCCAGATCCTCCGGAATCATGTCATGGTGCGGGTTGGAGGTGGCTGGGACACGCTGGAGCATTATCTGGATAAGCATGATCCCTGCCGGTGCACCTCGCTGTGTAAGTCTCCTTGTTCTGCTTCCCTGTGTGCAGCCTTGGGGAGGTCTGCATGGGGGGTGACCCTTTGCCTTGGATGAGGTTCGAATCTGGTGGGTGGGTGTCCCACGCCGTCATCAGTAGAAGACTTTGTGGGTCACAGCAAAGAACAGCAAAGAAGCATAGACAGACAGGAGAAGTACATCCAATCTGAACAATTCCCGAGGCTCGCCCCTGGCTACTGTGCTGGGTGGAAAGCAGCTCAGCCTTTATCAGTCTCTGACAGGGCCACATGAACTTTTTGCTGGGGTCATTTCTTTCTGGGTTCTTGTAGCAGGAGGCAGATGACTCCTTGCAGCATGGAGAAGGCTTCTGGGAAGCCGTTTGTCTCACAGAGCGCCACTAGAGGTCAGGCTAGCACTTCAGACGGGAGAGAGCCCTGCAATACCCCAGTCCTGCCTAGGGGTGTGTGTAGGAATTGCCCTTTGGGCAGGGGCGGCTCCAGGCACCAGCGCACCAAGTGCGTGCCTGGGGCGGCAAGCCGCAAGGGGCAGCCTGCCGGTTGCCGTGAGGGCGACAGTCAGGCGGCCTTCGGCAGCATGCCTGCAGGAGGTCTGCCGGTCCCGCGACTTTGGCGGCAATTCGGCGGTGGGACCTCTCGCAGGCATGCCGCCGAAAACCGCCTGACTGCCGTGCTTGGGGCGGCAAAATACATAGAGCCGCTCCTGCCTTTGGGATTATTGTATTTAGGGTTTTTTTTGTATATTTCACAAGGTTTTAAATGCCTCCGGGAACCAATTACGGCAGCAGAATAATGTGAGATCTGATCTCACTGCATTTCAGCACCTGGACAGTAGAAATGTCATAAGACAATGAGGTCTTGCTTTATTCCAGCTGAATAAATTATTCCTGGAGGTTAAAGACCCATGTGAAATTCCTAGGTGTGCCACAGTGCCAGCTTTCCAATCCATCGTGAGTATTCACAAGGGATTTTCACCATGAGGCTTGGAGTGGACTGGCATCAATTCTGGTCTCCCCCAGTCTCCATGGCGAGTTAGAACATGCACAGTTGAATCGGAAGTGGTTGGTACTATCTGGCACTGCTTAGGTCTGGCACACCGGTACGGCTACCCCAAAAGGTTAATCCACCGGCGTGCGGTGACCAGAGATCCTGAGTCCCTGAATCTCTTCACAGCTCACAAGCAGGCTGTCCAGCTGACAAGCCCTCAAAGGCTGCAGGCAATACAGGTGCAGCACGAGATCAAGGTCTGCCCGACACCCAGGACAGACAACCCAAAGAAGCCCCAGCCCACCCTGATCGTGAGCAGGTCCCAAAGCCCACTGCCCCCAGTGGAGTGGAGGACCTACACCCCACAGAGCCTCAGGACCAGCTGGAAGCCTCGTTCATCTGCATCGCCAGAGAGCACTAGGCTCAGGCCCCCACGGGAGCAGTCAGAACCCAGGAGGGTCCCTTCGGCCAGGTAATGAAAAGAAGTTAGTGAAAGGCCTTGGGCTTGGTTTCCCGGATGACTCCCACGGATGCTGTGCTGAGCAGTCGGTACAGTCACTGACGCTGAAGAGCGGCTGGCATTGGACAAAGCTGGATAATTACACAGTGAATGGTGCATTTTAGTGCTAGCCAGGCCTCTTTTATGGTGCCTTCCTGGACTCCCAGTCCCCCCGTTGTTCCTGTTTGGTTCCCACCTCGAAGGACCTGTTTCAAGCTTGAGCATAGTTGGCCATGGCCGCCTTCAGTGCTCATCACGGTCATCTCAGGATCAGCTGGAGGGAGTCACTTAACTGCTATAGGGTTTCTGCTCAAGTGAGGCCCCAGGGCTGGCTTGAGGGTCATTGGCAGTGCTTGTGCGTGCTAGGGTCCAGGACTGGAACAGCCGGGGGTACTGTAGGTCAGGACTGAGGGGCACTGGCAGAGCTGTAGGACAAGGCCCAGAACTGGAAGAGGTAGAGGGAAGGCCGTTTCCAGATGCAGGTAGATTATTGGCCGGCTGTGTGATGTCTTCGTGTTGATAGGGTGGGTGGTATGTCAGGATAGGGATGCACTGGCTGAGCTGTACTGTGGTGTCTGCCTGTGCTAACTCTGACTTCAGGCAGGGCGCTCAGCCCCTCGCTCTCAGCAGCACCAAAATGTAACTAGTTAAACCCCGACGCCTGTGTATTTTGGTGGAGTTGGTGACATTACATGGCCCTGTTTTGCTGACCCAGAGGTGGTGGCCTGCACTGGCCTTTGTGCCAGCTTGTCAGTGCATCACAAGGCAAATGGTTACAGCTGCTAACGAGGGATGTATATGCCCTCCCACTGCTTGTCAGCACAGAACCAGCTTCACGCCCAGAGCAACGCAGGTACCCACCTCCCTAGGGCTAGAGGCGACTGACACACCGATCTGACGCTTTGTCTCTGTTATAGGGCAACAGAGCGGTCTGCTACTCCTTCGCGGAGGCAGCTGTTTGCTGAAGAAAGATCTGCTACCCCCCAGAACTCCTCCACCCAGAGCGGGAGGGATAAGCTGTGTGTTTCTATGTCCTCCCTGACATCGCAGCTGCCTGGAAGCGAGGAGGATGGTTCTGGCGCCTCGGAAGCTCTCCCGGAGCCCCAGAGAGGGCGACAGACTAGTAGAATCCCTGGGATGAATCAGAAGGACCCAGCTAGGTTTGTGCAAGCCAGCTGTACAGAGTCCAGGCCTCAGACGACAGTGCCAAAGGACAGAACAGCTCAGCTGCCAAGGAGCACCCGGTATGGAGTCAAACCCGTTCCACAGGCTCACAAGCCTGAGGAATCAGGGGTCAAGACCTTTCCTGGGATGGTCCGTTCCTCCAGCCCAATGAAACCCCATCATCTCTCCCCACAACGGGATTCCAAGGGAGCTGCACAGAGCCACAACGCTGCACATGGCTGGGGGGATGCTGGGGTTGTGAGGCCATCCTCCCCAGTCAAGCACATGGGCCAGACTCCAAAAAGTAGCACTAAGATCCCAGTCAAAGCCGGCCCCGCATTCAGCAGGCCCCCAACCCCTGTTCAGAGCTACCAGGGGGAGCCCCGCCTCCGAAATGGGTGGAAAGTCCCTGCCGGTGAAATGGCAAAAGCCCCAGCTCTCTCAAAGAGCAAAGTCATGTCCAGGGCTGAGGATGGCTTTCAGAGGCACAGACATTGCAGTGGGGCAGTCAAGCCAGAGACATTGACGACCAACCTTCCCACTAGCCCAAAAGACAGACTCAGCCAGTCAGCTCCAGCAGGGAAGGACAAGGGTCCAAACACCAGACTGGTGCAGGAGGTAGAGCCAGGAAACACCAAAGACAGCAGCAGCAGCAGGAGTGGTGGAGATCCAATAGGCTGCAGAGAGGAGAGGGAACGCGTGTATACACCTTTGCCCATCAACCCGGCCCAGGAGCGGGCGCTGTACAGGAGCCTAGAAGATGAGATCTTATCCAACATAAAGGTTCTAGAGGCTGATTCTGATGAAAGCCACTGCCCTGAGGGGAACCGGCTGGACGACTTCGCTCTGGACTGCAGCATAGCGAGCGTCACCGCCGCCAGTGACGTAAGTGGGCTCAGGTCCTCCACACCCTCCCTGTCTTCCTTGACAAGCGCCAGGCAGACCTTGCCATGTGGCGAGGATGTGCCTCGGAGTGGTGTCTATGTGCCCAGCGGAGTGGCAAAATGGCACCCGTCTGGATTCCCCTATGGTGATGTGATCGACGAACTCTCCCAGGGGCACAACACACTCCACCCAGTGGACGTGGAGAACTGGATCACCAAGATACCACCCAAGGGGGCTGTGAGGGTTTCCTCTCAGCCAAGTTCGCCTCTGGTGAATGGAAACCAGGTGGAAAAGAAGCTTCTGGAGCCAGAAGGGGCTTTGTTCCAGGAGAACGTGTCCAATGAAACCAAAGGCAACTGGTTAAGGAGGCAGCCATCTCTCTCAAGCCATGCAAGGTCTGCTGTAGTCAGTAGAAATAGCAAAGCTCCTCAGGCAGCCTCTGATGGCCCCAAGGCATCTATCAATTCTCCAGCCTCTGTGGGTGGCCTTGAAAAGTCCAAACTGCCTCAAGGTAAGCCCAAAAGGTCCCTGAAGAAGCCTGAACGGGTGCCATCCATCTACAAGCTAAAACTACGCCCCAAAATCCGCCCACGCAGGGACAACAGACCTGAGAAACGGCCATCCAAAATCCCCACTCCAGTGACCTATCGACAGGCACAGAAAGCAGCCAGTGTCAAAGCCCAGGAGAAGGCCCACAGCTCAAAGCATCAGACCCGGCCAACTCAGGACAGCCTGGATAGCACAAGGCAGAACAGCACAGGAAATGCTGGGTCCGAGGAAGAGGCTTGGCTTTCAGAACATAGTGACTCCCCACAAGCTGGGAAGAAGACAGTCCTAGCAGATACCAAAGTGTGGCTCACAGAAGAAGATGAGGAATCCTGGGTCTGATGTCTTGCCTGCTGGCACCAATTTTGCCTCCCAGTTGTCAGTGTTTGTAGCTGTACGGGAGCCACATTCTCCTCCAACCCCATTGGAGAAACGGGGTTAGAGAGGAGACTCCGGCCCAACAGATGCGAAGCCAGTGAACTGATGAAGTTGAAGTTCTCCCAAGTTCTCAGCTGAGTGGCTCAAAAAAGGGACCTGTTGATTTGAGCCGAAGAAATCTGACATTTATTCTGAAGGACGAGAAGGCAGATTTTCAGAGAGGTCTCGACACGACCCTCAAAACCGGCAGGTACAATTTTGTGCTCTCTCCTGGGTTTTGAACATGCACTAACACTTCAAAGTGGAAAATTGAGCCTGCAATTTGGCATGAGGCATCTTTTGAAAACTTGGTCCCAAGTCTGGAACTAAGAACAGAACTTAGAACAAAGGGCGGAAACTGCTAACCTAAGAAAAGCTCTAATAGTGTGGTACAATGAAAGCCACATTTTTTTTTTTTTTTTTTACCAGCAGATGGAAATGTAAATATTTTTACTGCGAAAGTACTATCAGCAGGGGGAGATGCCAGTGATATGTATGATCATTTTCTCCTTGCCCCCGAGACCCACCCCAAATCCATTGTAATAGTTTTCTTTGACAGATGTACTTCCAAATTCCCCTCTCAGTTAATTTGGTGGATTTCCAGGGATGGTGTACTTGTGCAATTGGGAGGAGAATTTGGCCCATAAATTGCAAATACAGAGGCCAATTTAGCTCATGCAGAGAGGAGAAAGAGCATGGTCTCATTGTTAGAGCAGGACTATTGGGTTCAAATAATTAAAAAAATCTCTCTGTGCCTCAGTTTCCCCATCTGTAAAATGGGGCTAATTATGCTTACCTCTTAAGGCACCAAGAATCTTAGTGAATATTTGTAAAGCACTTTGAGATCCTCAGGTGAAAGGCACAAGAGCAAGGTAAAATATTATTATTATCGTCCTAGATCCATGGGTGAATCTTGTATTGATCCCAGTGGGAATCCCAAGTGCACTTGTAAGGCAATATAGAGCCCTGCTTTTGGAAAGGTTCCCCCAAGATTGCTCTGCCTTTTATAGGCAATGGGCAACGTGCCACCCTCATTCTGTTCACAAAAGTCTTGTTGAATTCAAAGGGAGTTTTCTAAAACACTGGAAGTGGCATAGCGCGTGAATTGTGTCAAAGTCCCTAATCAGACCATTTCCCCCTTTGTTCATGAAGTTACCGGGGCCAAATACTCAACTGATGTAAATTTGATTTACTTCAGCTCAGGATCTGGGCCACAGTTGCCTGCACGTATTTTAAGCTTGTCATTATTATTGTTAAACCAGTAGCCATCAATGCATTGGAAATAGGAAGTTACTTGAAATGACAAGAGCTGTGTCGGAGCTACTACCACAGCTGAAAGAAATATAATAATAGATTCAGATGGTGGGCTTGTTTTTAACCAACATGCCAGCGCTAGAGATGCCCTGTGATATCAGGAAAGAGACCTATAGAGACCACCCATAGCGTCTTGATACCCATGAATGTTCTGTGTAGTTTATGTGTGAATTGTCTTTATTGTTATAACTCTTGGAAATAGTATTTGAGGTGATTATTAATCATGCTGCTTGTTCCAGTTAGCCATTGTATTCCTAACCCTTTGATCACTGTATGACTCTCAGTGTTTGTGCAATAGAGACATTCCTAAAACTCTTCTTCTGGTTCAGTAACTTCTGTTTCAATGGGGATATGCAAAGATTGATCCATTGATAGCAATGATGCCTATAACCCAGGGATGATATAGCTTACTAGGTGAACCCTTTGTTGCACTTTACGTGGGATAAATTGTTTCCAAACAACCTATTTTTCCTTTGGGTCATTAGAAATCCCTAACTTTGGACCTATGGCTAGGCCTTCCAAGAGAGGATTACATAAGAACCATGAGTTCATAAAGACAAGAATGCAAGAGTTTGCCTGGTCTCTGTTAATGAGAGCGGGTGGGAATTTTTCGCATTTTTAGAATGCTGATTTCCAAACATTTGGAATTTTTTGGCAAAAAAATGTTCTGGATTTTTTAATTTCTGTTCATTAAAGGAAGCAGCAGGAAATAGATCAGGTCCAGGCAGTTGGACAAGTCAGGTCCAGATGTGGCCAGCTCCATATTTAAGATTGTGGATGCGGGGGCTGGGGGGAGTTAATGCTCTTAAATGAGGTCAGGAATGCTGTTCAACCATGTGCTGAGTGATTTGATTGGACAGCTCACCCATGTTGGTTTTTCAGGTGGTCTCAGCAAGATCTAGATCTGAACTGTATTCAGTGAGGGTGAAAGGAACATTAATAACCCTTTGCGCAGGTAATACTAGGTGGAGCACTGCTTCCATCTCAATGGACTAGAGATTCAGTGAGAATTTCAATACACCCTCTACAAGAGTCTTAAGGCTGCAGGGCTGAAACTGACTTGAGCGATGTGTCGGGGGCACCATCTTCCACCCTAATTGCTAGGGGTCGCCGTTGGGATATTTTACACTTTCCATTACCCACACAGTTGCCACATGTTCCATTTTCATTATGTTCTGTTGCTGTCATTAGAAACACATTAACAACCCCACTGTGGGTATGAGACGTGGTATGGGATCACTGATTCTGAGAATTACAGCGCTGGGTTATGTTGCTTGATTGCCCAACTCATCGGTTCCCCGCTAGATGGTGGGTCTAAGAACAAGGGGAAGGAATATGATGGCAGCCCAGTGAAAACAAAGAATATGGAAGAGAGAAAGAGGCATCACGGAGGGGATCTCTCTGAACATGAAAAATCCTACCAGGCCCGTGAAAACGTTCTTTCCCCAGCAGTCAGGAAATAGGATGAATTTGAAGGATCAGTGTTGTCATTGCATAGCTCATCAAGCGTATGTCACCCCTTAGCAACCTACAGCTAAAACCAAGCCCCCCCTTTAAAGTGTAATAATGGAGACAAGAACCAGATTAAGTCCTGGTGTGAGCAGGTACAATGGGAAGGCACTGAGAATTGTATCAGTTTAATGCCAGGGCTGTATTTGTCCCTGGGATAGGAACTGAGTAATTTTCACTTATGCCCAAATAAATCAGTTAGTCTTTAAGGTGCCACTGGGCTCCTCGTTGTTTTCATGGAACAAGACTACTTGGCAAGAAGGATCTTTTAAGAATGAAATGAAATTATTTAGCTGATCAGCTAAACATTCACTTGGAGTGGTTTCTGTTAGTTTATGACCAGGCCTCACGAGATAGGTCAGTTGAATACCTTGACAAACATAACCATGTTGGATGAGTGTCATAAATATACAGAACCAACAAAAATGGAGAAGTGCCGTCACAGACTTGTATTTAATTTAAATGTATTGGATACAGATTAATTTCCTTAGTTCAGAACTACAAGTTCCTTGATAAACGGTCTGAAAGTGGAGCTGGGTGGAAAAGTCAGGGTTCTTTTAACAGAAAATGTTGAGACTTTGGTAAAATATTTCTGCTGAGACCCAAGACATTTTGATTGCGAAATGCATCTCCCATGAGACACCACTGTCTCCCTTCTTGGAGAGGGTAGTTGGCACATCCTGGAAGTCGCATGTTGGAGATGCATCATGGGACACGAGTCTGACTGGGGAGCCTGGCCTCTAGAGAATAGGAGTTTGAGACACCTGAATTACAACTCCCACAAGGCACCATGGCATGACAGCATTTCACAATATTTTGGCTTTTAGATTAAATATTCCAGTTTTGGGGCATTTGGGCAAATCACAATTTTCTGTGGAGAGCCAATACTCTTTGCAAACAATATCATTTAGTTGAAAAGCCAATTTTCTGTTGAAAAACAGTTTGTGGAAATTTTTCACGCAGCCCTCTTAGAAAGGGTTTTTCCCTAGTGTTGCTGTAGCTTCTGTAATGTCTTTAGAAACATGGGTTTGAAACTTTTAACAGTAATTCTCCTCCATGACTCATCACCAATCACGCCCCTCCTCCTCTTTCAGGAAGGGTAAAACAGCTCTCTCTGCAGGGTTCAATATCAGGAGGCAATTTAGTGATTGTTTCAAGTGGCATGAGAATGAGGCAGTCGGAGATTAGGAACCGAGGCGGAAGCAGATGTCTGGAGAAAGGGTTGGAGCTCTGTGTCTTATACCGGTTGGAAACTCATTTTTCTGGATTTAAAGCTTGAAGACAAGCTTCCCATGATACAGGGGGTCCTTCTTCAGGGCTCTGTGTCTGACAGGCTAGCTGGAGGGGGCATGGATCTGGGGAGGTGGGTTAATGTGGCAGTTATCAGGAAATACACAGCTCCATTATCAGGTCCCACTTGTTCCCAGCTGAAGAGGGCTTTAAAGGAGCTCAGACCTGCTCTGTGTTCATAAGCCTCCATGCATTCAGTGGCGGCTGTGTGCAGCTAAAGAGACCCTTATGAACAGAGATAGCCCTCTAGAGAGCAGGAAGGCCAGCTGTGAATAGGGAGGGCCGGGTAAGTGCAACACCTGAAAGGAGGAATAGACAAACGGGGGATGACAACTCTTTGGCAGGTTCTCTCATCTGCTCAGGTGCTGGTTAATCGAGCATGGAGATTCACTTGTAGAAAGAGATGGTGAGCTGCCTGCAGGAATGTGCTTGCCCTGATGGTCCCGTGGCCATTGAGGAGGAGGCAACTGAGCTATCAGGTGGAACCTGATGGCCCTGAAGTTTCCATGGCAGTTGGTGGTAGTGATGGGGGGGGGAGGGGGAGATAGGGTTGCCAACTTTCTAATTGCTGAAAACCATACACCTCTGCCCCCTGCTCACTCCTCTTCGCTCTCCACTCCCCCCACCCCGCTCACTCCCCTTTCTCCCAGGACTCACCTGCTGCCTGCAGAGCCAGGCTGGGCAGAGCTGATGCGGAGCCTGCCCACCTGCCAATCAGGGCACAGCGGAGGTCAGTCCCCAGAGTAAGGGGCCAGGGCAGGGAGGGATTGTCCCCATAGCAAGGAGCTAGGACTGGGGTAATCAGGGCACGGTGGGGGTCGGTCCCCAGAGGCCGGGGAGGGGTCAGTCCCCATAGTGAGGTGCTAGGGCCAGGGCAATCGGGGCACGGTGGGGGTCGGTCCCCAGAGGCCGGGGAGGGGTCAGTCCCCATAGTGAGGTGCTAGGGCCAGGGCAATCGGGGCACGGTGGGGGTCGGTCCCCAGAACCAGGGGCCAGG